GGTTGTTAAGCCCTAAAGGAGGTCACTGGGACAGGACCCCCCCCCTCCAGCCAAAAACCAGCCCCAATTAAAGGTGATACCACCCAGAAAGCGACTCCAAGGGCCTTTTCATTCCAGCTCCGGCTCCTTCCACCATGGAATTGGGCTACAAAACCTCCAAATTGGGCAGAAAACCTCCAAATTGGGCTAAAAAAACTCCAAATTGGGCAAAAAAAACTCCAAACTGGGCTAAAACCCTCTGAATCAGGCTCAAAACCCTCCAGACTGGGCTAAAACCCCCTCCCAGTTGGGCTAAAAATCCTTCCAACTTGGGCTCAAAACCATCCAAATCTGGCTAAAACCCACTCCGAATGGGGCTAAACCCTCCAAATTGGGATAAAACCCTCCAAACTGGGCTCAAAACCATCCAAATTGGGCTAAAAATCCCTCTAAATTGGGCTAAAGCCCCTCCAAATTAGGCTAAACCCCCTCCAAATTGGCCTAAAAGCTACTCCGAATCGGGCAAAAAACCCTCCAAATTGGGCTAAACCCCCTCCAAATTCGGGTCAAAACCCTCTGACTTGGGCTAAAAACCCTCTGAACTGGGATAAAACCCCTCCCAATCAGGCTAAAAATCCTTCAAAATTGGGCTCAAAACTGCTCCAAACTGGGCTAAAAAACCTCTAAATTGGGCTAAAACCCCTCCAAATCAGACTCAAAAATCCTCCCAAATTGGACTCCAAACCCACCCAAATTGGGCTCAAAATCCTCCCAACTGGGCTAAATCCCCCCCATTCGGGCTAAAAACTCTCCAAACCAGGCTCAAAACTGTCCAAATTGGGCTAAAATCCCTCCAAATTGGGCCCAAACTGCTCCAAATTGGCCTTAAATCCTTCCTACTTGGGCTAAAAACCCTTGGAATCAGGCTAAACCCCCTCCAAATTGATCTAAAAAACCATCCAAACTGGGTTAGAAACCCTCCCAACTGGGCTAACCCCCTCCCAATTGGGCTCAAACCCTCTGAGAATTGGGATCAAAATGCTCCAAATTGGGCTAAAAACCTTCAAATTGTGCTAAAACCCCCTCCAAACTGGGCTCAAATCCCCTCTAAATTGGGCTAAAACCCCTCCAAATCATGTTAAAAAAACCCTCCAAACTGGGTTAAACCCCCTCCAAATTGAGCTAAACCCTGTCTGAATTAGGCTAAAACCTTTGCAAATTGGGCAAAAAACCCTCTGAATTGGGCTCAAACCCCTCCCAGTTGGGCTCAAAACGCTCCAATTTGGGCTCAAAACCCCTCCAAACTGGGCTCAAAACCCCTCCAAATTGTGAACAGTGATTTATTTGAATTCAGGAGGAATTAACACAAAACACCTTTCCCTGAGCAAAGGGCTGCTCCCGAAGAGTGACTCGGCTCCAGCTCCAAAAATCCCTTTATTTCCCCCAGAATCATGACCCATGCCCAAAAAAGAGCAAAAATCCATCTCGTTTATTTTAATTTTTATTTTTTTTCTTTTCCTCAGATCTTTACTTGCAGTAAAAGATAGAAAAAGGTAATAAATGAAACTCGGTATAAAACACAGAGAGGGACGGGGAGAAACCAGGCGACAAAGAACACTGACCCGGGGTGAAAAAGGGAGGAATTTTGTACAAAACTACTCCTTCCAAGGTAGAGAAAAAAACCTGTAGAAAATATCCCTCCCCACCCGGAGACACACACACACAAAAACCCCAAAAATACAAAAAAAAAAAAGAAAAAGGGGGATATGATGCCATTCTTTTTCCTTGGACTGAAAAAGGTTCTGTACAGCAGAGGAGCAGGGGGAGAGGGGGGGGGGAAGCTCAAACAAAGCCTCTTCCTCCCACCTCTCACTTTTTGCTTGTTTTTGAAAATAAATTAAAAACAAAAAAAAATTAAAAATTTAACAGAAAGAGTTAGAAGCATCAGCCCAGCGCCCAGGAGCCCGGAGGAGAGGTGTTGGTGGGGAGAAAAACTCCAGAAGCATCGTGGCACCCCCCAAAAATCCCTATTTTTGGGAGGGTTTAAGCGCTTCTGGATATTTTACTGCTTTTTGCCGGGGGGCAGCTCAACCCCAAGGTTCCCGGGAGCTGGAAATCCTCGGGGATCCCCCCCCTTTTGGAAGCACTTCCCACCTCGGCTCCGACCTCTCGCCTTCCCCGAAATCTTTGAGCTCAGGGCAGCTTTTATCCCTCCCTCCCCCGGGGAAAATATGTGCAAAGTATCCCCGGGGGGGGGAAGAGAAAAAATGGATTTATTCCACTGGGTTGGGAGCTCTTGGAAAGAGGAGAAAGAGGGGGGAAGGAGCCACGACCCCAGAACCTGCCCAGAGGAAAAAAGCCGGAGTCAGGGGGTGGAAAAAAAAAACCCACCCCCTAAAACCCAACGTAGACATGGATTTTGTTCTTTTTGTCGCTGGGGTAAAAAAGAAAAACAGGTTTGGAAAAATATATACAAAATAATTCCGGGGCTCTTCAATCTACAGTTTTGTACCTGAATTTCCATAAACAATTGATGGTGAAGAACCGGGAGAGCAATTCATTCCCAGGGGAAGGAAAAAGCGGGATTTAATAAAAAAGAAGGGACTTTTGGTGGCTCCTGTCACCCTCGAGGGATGCCCAAAGCCTCAGCCAGGGCTAGAAAAATCTTAGGATTAGGGTATAAAGAGAAAAAGGCTGGGTTTGAGGACAGAGGGGAGGATAATCCAGGCGTTGAGGGGATGTAAAAACCTCCCTCCGCCCCCAAAAACCTCCCAACATCCACCCCCAAACTGGTTTTCGCTCCCTCCCTCACCCCAGAACCCCCAGAGCCTTCTAAGTGCCTTCCCCTTCTCCTTAAATCCAGCATTTTCCAACCCCCCCCCCCCAAAAAAAAATCATGCCGTCAGCTCCAAGCTGGCAGCAAGAGCCGAGAAAACGACCCCAAAAGGAGCAAAAATACATTATTTTTTTTTTTAAGTTCCTCGAGTGCTGTCCCCTCAAATCTCAGCACCTGAAATTGCTGGTAAAAATAAGTCTGGAAATAGAATTTTTTTTTTAAAAAAAAAAAAAAGGGGAAAAGAAAAGGCAAATGTGCTTCTGAACGTTTCTATTGCGCGTTGGTCCGTGAATGGGGTGGGGGTGGTTTGGTTTGTGGGGTGGTTTTTTATATCAAAAATAGGATAAAGAGTTCAGTTGCTGGGTCTTCGAGCGACGCCCCGGGGCAGCTCGGGGCAAATTTGGGCACTTCTGAGACAACAGCATGAGAAAAAAAGCGGCTTTTTTTCCGGCGCAAGGGCATCATAAGAGCTTGCGGTGGAGGATTTCCCAGGCCATTCGCTTGCGGAAATAGGGCATGTGTTGCTTGGTTTTTTGGGGTAGAAAAGAGAGAAAAAGAGAAAGAAAATGCAGATCAGCATCTCTCACCGCTCTCCCAGGGACCGGGTTTTAGGTGGTGGCTCTTTCTTGGGGGGGAAAAACCTCGACTCCTTTTCCTCGGAGGGGGAAAAACCTCGACTCCTTTTCCTGGGGCGGGGGGGCAGGGGGAAACCTCGACTCTTTCATCATGAAATCTGGATGAAAACTAGGGAATAACAGAGAACTCTGATGATATTCCCTAATAATTAGAAGTTAAAGATGCATGTGGATGTCCCCAGGAGGCTGACAGTGTTAAATAAGACTGAAATTCCCTGGGATTTGGGCTATGTTGCCCCGTTTTCACCCCAAGGAGGAGTAGGTCCCATTTATGAGTGTCCCCTGGGTGCGTGGGTGATGTGCCCCGTGGATTCAAGGACAACCAAAGGCCCCAGGGTGGCTTTAGAGGGACAATTTTGCACGGTGTGAAGAACCATGGCAGAGCCTTGTGCCAGTTCTGCTCCGAGGAGGGTCCCCACTTGCACTGGGGGCACTTTTAAACCCATCGAGGAGGCAAGAGGCACAGGGAGGGGGGGTGGGAAATCAGAATATGTCCCCCAAAAGTGGCTGTGTCTGTCCCCAAGGCCGGGGTGGGTTTTACCTGGGTGAAGTTGATGGGTTTGTCTTTGGTGATGCAGTCAGCGTATTTGCAGGCGAACATCCCGCAGTCGCTGCCGTTCATCTGCTGCGGGATTTCCTTGGAGGGGAAAACAAAAAAACTAAGGACAAGAAACCAAAAAGTGTCATTTTTCCCGGGAGCCAGGGGAGCTCCAAACCGGGGACCCCCTCAAACAAGGGATCCCTCCCAAACTGGGGACCCCTGCTCAAACCGGGGACCCCTCCCAAACAAGGGGACTCCCTTAAAAGAGGGGCCTCCCCCT